GTTGTTGTCATGGAAGCCATAGTGACCCTCATTCCTGTCTACACGGTTTGAGTGCCCTCCCCACGAGTGACGTGGGGGTCGTGTTCGGCAGGAGTCCAACAGGTATTGGTTTAGATCTTATGTGGTCCTGTCTGTTGCCAGTCCAAGGTGATTTTGGGGAGCCATGGACTTGTTCAGGTCCTCGAGTTGAGGAATGATTTTGTGCCGTCATTGTTGACGTGGCACGAGACGGGTGGGTGATTAGGCCACGCAGCTTACCACGTGAGGCTCCCTCAAGTTTCATGGTTCATGATCTGATGTTACCTGGTGTGTCTCCTTGCTTGGCATTCCATAGAAAGTCAAGCGGTGTCCGCTACAATAAGTACACATTGTAGTTTTCATATCTCTCCATAACATTGAAATAAAACAAATCTATACGCATACAACTTTATTTACGACACACTTTGACTGTACTGTATCCACCTGCACAAGCATGATGGGGACTCTTGCTGCTATAGATAAATATTCAATATATAAATATATTGTAAAGCAGTTAATGCATTACAATAGTTGTTGCTCCGTTGTTGTTATAGCTCGCTGAAAATATTTCATTACCAAGCTGCGAAACAACATATCACTAACGTATTTACAATTTAGATTTGCCAACTAAAGTCTCAAAAAGATATGGTTCCAGTAGGCGTTTTAATAATAAGCACAGGAGGAGATAGTGTTATGCTCACCAGGCACTCTCCACAGGTTGGAAAGTCATTATAGTTACCAATCATTGTAGGGTGCAGCCTCTGTACACTACATTTGAGTGTGCTGTGCGGAGATTTTGTAGTGCACATATTAGTGGATAAAATTTACAGTTGAGAATTGGAACAGCAGTAGAACACGGCCGATTCACACTGCGAACACAGCTCGTGTCATGCCGTGAGCTCTTATTAAATGGACACATCTGAGAGTGGTGCTGATTCTCTTTTGTATGTCAAGCAAATTATTATATTTCCCAGAAAGTCATACTATTCCTTTAATTTACTGCAATCAAATTTTGCCAGAAGCCATGGAGCACCAGGAGTTAAACACGACATCAGGAGCAGCAGAAAAATAGTCTTTTACCCTGCTGTGTTTTCATTTCAGCCGCCTGCCAAGAACCACAAAGATTAGGCAAATTAGACCAATAAAGGATTGAAGACTGTCTTTGTTTGAAACACTGTTTTGCATACAAAATGGCACAAAAGCATCATGTTCTTAGTAATTTATTGTTGGCAGACTGTGGAGTGGGAATTGATAGGTAAGGACACATGCAGAGATGGTAAGGAAGATTGAAATCATCAGAGAAGCTAAAGGAGTTATTGGGAAGTTTTTTTTTCCGCTTTGAAATACATAAAATCTAATTACTTCTCATGCTCAGCACCCATTTTACCTCGCAAAGGTATCATGTTTGTTCAGGCCACTCACTGCTCGACTTGAAATCAGGCCATCATTTTCTTGATTTCCACAGGAAATTTGAGGCATTAACTTAGAAATCCTTCTATCTAGTTTTATTATTTTGTTTTTTGATATCCATTGATGTGCTTTCAGCTTTTATTAGACTTCTGTCAGGTGTTGTTTTTTACTACGCTGGCCTTTATTGAAGGTCTGCTAGTATCTGTGATGGTTAAATATGGATCTGCACCTCTGGTCTACTTGCTTTTATTATCTGATGCACTGAAATATTGAATAAAAGTACTGAAAGCACATCCGCAGTTCTAATCGTTGGCATTTATCTGACACTCTTAACCGGAGCCAGTAACTATGTTTTCATCCAAGTATTTTATGCAAATGATGACATATTCAATTAGCACTGCTGAATAGAAACAGCCGAGTTTAAACAGAAAAAAGGAAAATCGTCATCGAAAATGCTTTTATGCTCGTCTTAGTCAGAGAGAGAGTTTTTCATCTAGAAAGAAATTATGCAATAGTGATGGGAATGCATTTGTTGAATAAATTATAACCCTGGGATGTTTGCAACCTAATGTTGTCTGAAAAATATCTCTCCACCGCAGCTTTCCAGAAATGCTTACCCCATCTCTCTAACATATCATACATATAAGGGTAGTCTAATGTGTGTTTGTTTGACCCGTTGTTTTTTATCCAGACGGCTGTGACATTATCTTGTGTGGATAAAAACGTTGAGTCATAGTTTCAGCTCTTTGTCCGTTTCTAATAATATATTAGAAACATGTTTGCACAAATGTATTTTAATCAGACAGTTGAAATGCTGTTTGGCAGATCACTGATGCTCTATTTTAAGTGCGTGTCATCTCCCTCGATGCTCTTGTTCCTGCTTTAATATTGAGCTTGTGGAAGGCCAGGTCCTGTTGTTGGCTCAAAACCAAACTGTCCTCAGCACCGGCCTCCTTTTCTTCCCATCTCAACATGATCACAGCTGACATTTAATCTCTGCACTCTACAAACAAGGCTGGACTCTGTTAATGACGCATGCATATGGATGCACCTTCGCCGACAATCAGCAGGACAAATACAAAAATCCAGCTCGGCTGTCTGGAGGCTCAACTCTGATAAGAGCCCACACACATATATTCCTGTCGTATATCGCACACTGCAGGTATACCCTCTTTATGTCACACACATACATCCAGCCCCGTGTCATGTAAGGATGATCTGTGGATGACAGCTGTAATCTAACTCCGCAGATATATAGGAGGCCTGTTTGTGTATTTGTGTGTGTGTGTGTGCGTTAGTTATATACCTTTGTTATCTATGTGTTGCAGATCACGTGTCCGTGGGTGGCCTGGGTGACAGTTTCTATGAATACCTGCTCAAGGCCTGGCTGATGTCTGACAAGACTGACGAGGAAGGCAAAAAGATGTACTATGATGCCCTGCAGGTATTACACACACACACACACACACACACACACACACACACACTGCTGACAGAACATGAAGAAAAAAGCTCCTCACTAAGAGTTGAGATGACTTTGAGGGTAAAACAGACAAGAATTATTCTTAGCTTCTGTCATAGACTTCTCTAGAGCTGCAACAGTTAGCTGATCAAATAGTCAAGTGATCTCGAACTATTTTGATGATCGATTAATCATTTGAGTCATTTTCAAGCAGAAATGCAGAAATATTGGCTGAGTCCTCCCTCTAATTAGTGAAAAATGGTTCCTCTCCCTGTTTTATATGATAGCAAACTGTTTTGAAACATCACTGAGACTAATTACGAGATTTGAAGATACCACCATGAGCTTTAGGGAATTTTGAAGGGAAAAAAATTAACATTTTTACAAAGATTTTTTTTTTTTTGTTGTTATTTTAGAAACTAATAAATCTCTTGCTGTTTCCTATCTGCTCTGTATAAACACAGCCTGCAGTTCAGCCAAAAAGTCATAGAGTTGTTGATCACAGCTGAGTCACTCATGTTGCTCCGAGGAACACAGAATTGTTGGTAGTTTTTACAGGATCCAAATTAGTTTGAAGAAAAAAGTTGGTGAGTTAAAGACTGTGTTTGTGCGGGTTCTGTCTCTGATAAATTGTTTCTTGATATTTGAAACAGCTGTTTAACATTTTCTAATAACAACTGTTGTTTTATTGTTGCTGAAATTACAGTAAGAATAGCATAAGATGTGTGATACATTTCCAAATGTATCACATCTAATATTTTATTTATATTTATATATTATTATGATTTAAATGTATTAAAAGCTTTTGATTGAGTAGATAGTAAGCTAAAATGAAAGCTAAAAATAAAATGAAGTTATTTCTCGTGCATCGTCTCTTCTACTGTATTGATATCAGAGCTTTAATGCTGTTTGCATATTTTTATAACAGAAATAGTAGAAGCCCATCCAAAAAGAGGAGCTCAAATGTCTACTCTTTTATTTATTAGTTTAATGAGAATAAGCTTTCTTGCTGTGTGTCTGACAAGCAGTACTGAGCACAAAACAAATTAACAAATCAATGAGAATACTAACTTTTAACATACTAAATAAAGCGTATAAAGCTTTAATAAGTTTCTCTTCAGTGTTAGTTCACCAAGTTTTAGAAGTATATTTTTTCCTCTGAAAGCCATAATAGCACTTCTGAAATAGAGATCATTTGACAAAGAACTGATCCTTATGAATTCTAATTTCCAATCTGTTGCTCTTCTTCCACTGAGAAAGTGTTGTAGAGACTGATGTACAATCACGCTGTCATTCACTTTCACTATAAATGTATGTGAAAAACAAGTAAATGTCAAGAAAACTGAGTGCATCGTATATAAAGCCTGTAATTTGAAGCTGTTCTTACTAAACATAGAGGTCTGTTTCCAGATGGTGAACTGCACGGATTTCCTCCACAGGGCTTTGCGTGCCTCTTGCACCCTCTGAGTCATAATAAATGCTTGTTGGATAATAGTGGACAACATACGCGAGGGCAGCTTTAGATATTAAAAAGTGGTGTTTCTTTTTTTCTGTCTGCAGGCAACGTTATAGGAATGCAGATATACTTTAAGCATACCATGTGTTGCTCATAACCTCATGTTATCAGAATAAGGATTCTTCTGTAGATCTTGTTTTATTTCATTTCCTTTTTTTTATTTATTTATTTTTTTTGCTTAAAGTTGCGATTTTGTCTCTCCAGTAATCAAATCTTGCACCAGCCAGATAGTGAGTTTGAGCAGATGGAGGGACAGCACTGCAGACACAACTACATGCACATTTGTATAACAAGACAAAGACAGGGAACAGATGAATCTACAGTAACAGGCGTGCTAAACCCCAAGGATGGAGCACACACGCATGCAGCTAGCCTTCCTCTGTTAACACAAATTGTCAACTTAAGTTGTGGTGAGAAGCGATGGGTCTCAGCTGGGGAAAGCTGATTGTCTGTCTTTCTGCAGCATGAAGGGGGTAAAATACACTGTATTGCATGATGACTAAAATACAGAATTAAACATGTAGGGATACTTTACCCATAATCCTTCATGATCTCTGAGGATTGTAGGCATTCTTGTTTTATTTGTCAAACAGAGCCAAGGGAGGAGAGAAGCAGCAGGATGTGTATCTGAGATACAGCAAGACAATAACACAATAACTTTAGTTCTGAACAATCTGGACTGCATTATAGGCTCAGTACATGAAAATGGGATGGCTAACTTTCCATCCAAGAATATGATCCCATCCAGAGCTGCGACATTTATTCCATCAATCGAGAGTTTCAGGGTCAAGCAATTGTTTTTGTTATTTTTCAACTGAATTTCGTAATCTGGTGTTTATCAGCAAAAGAAATCACAGTCATGTTCACCAGCCATTAATTCATTCAGTTATCTGTAGATATATGCAAAAAAGAAATGCACAAGCAGAAATCATATTTTTAAACTTGTGGTCAACGATATTTTTAATGGCCCATCTTAATATTTATTGGGCAGGGAAGACAATGGTCGATATTTACAACCTAAAATATAACAATTTAACCCTCTGAACCCCAAAATCCAGCAGCAGGCTTGAAATACAAGGTGTCGTTTTCAAAGATCATCAAAGTTACACCATTTATCAGAGCCAGAAACTGGAAAAACAAAAATAATTATTGGATTTCATGATCCAATAATGTGTCTTTAAATGGGTAAGCAGTTGTTCATTCTTTGGACCTTGTTGCTCTTTATAGGGTCCCACTTGATCAGTGAACAGTCTAGTGATTGATCACCCATTAAGGGCTACATTTTCTTAAGCCTGATAACGGAGTGAGAAGGAGGTGCAGAGGTCTAGTTTCATCTCAAGCCACTTTCATTATAATATGCTAAAAGGTTATTATGGACTTTTTGCAGAAAAACTACTGCATTCCCCACCTTCAAGTAAGGTTTGGATGAACATCATCAGGTGTGGTGTGCATCGACTGCCAGAGCTAAAAATCACAGCTAGCACACTGCTAAAACCCCTCTGTGTCTTCCAGGCAATAGAAACCAACCTGATGAGGAAGTCGAGCGGTGGGCTGACCTACATAGCGGAGTGGAAGGTGGGGCTGCTGGAGCATAAGATGGGTCACCTGACCTGTTTTGCAGGTGGCATGATCGCTCTGGGTGCTGATGGGGCGCCCAGTGACAAGACGGGCCACCAGATGGAGCAGGCAGCTGAGATCGCCCGCACCTGTCACGAGTCCTACGCCAGGACCGGTAAATGTCCACGCACAATTTCAAATTCACATTCATGTCTTTGGTGTAGTTTTCAGTTTTGATTGCGAATCATATCTTTGTGTATGGAATGTAGAATTTTTCGATCTAACTATGAATGTATATTCAAGGACTGTAGTTTGTAGTCTTTGTCAGAGTCTGATTTAATACCCACAGTTGTTGCAAGGTTTAAGCATTACATATTTTAAAATACTGACCTACTGAATTCTGTATTGCTTAATCCCAAAAAAAATGCTTTTCAAGTTATTTTTGTCATGCTGTATTTAAATTAGAGACATTTTCTCATCTAAAATAGTCACGTCAGGTTGCTCAGCGCTGTTCATGCTCATCACCCTTTTAATTGGAACACTCAAGTGGTCCCACTCTGATTTAACTCCTCTTATTCTATCCAACTGATGTCATATTTTGATGGAATGCAAGATTCTCTTTGCAATCTTCAATCAAAGAAGTGCATTTTTCTCCCTCATTTAAATCCATCCTCAAGTCATGCTCTGACTCACCGTGTTTTAAATGCAGTTCCAGAGAGAAACATTACCACTAGCGATTGAATAGCATTATTCTTTCGAGTGAACAATGACCTGAAGTTTGTGACACTGCTCTGCACTGCGCCCACATACATAACTTATACTCACATTATGTAAATATATGGATAAATGACAGAAACAGTAAACTCCAAAGAAAGAAAATCCACCACAATGATGATCTTCTGTAAGACGATCTTCTTGGGAGTTTTACTGCCAGTGCACACAGATTACATCATACACTTACGCTACCGTTGTATGTAATTCTGCTGAAAATATGGTTCTTTATCTCTACATTATTTTCTTCCATTGTGTAGCTTTGAAGCTCGGTCCAGAGGCATTTCGTTTCGACGGCGGGGTCGAGGCCATCGCCACTCGCCAGAATGAAAAATATTTCATCCTCCGTCCCGAGGTCATCGAGACCTACATGTACATGTGGAGGTTCACCCACGACCCCAAATACAGAGAGTGGGGCTGGGAGGCTGTTCAGGTAAAATATTTCTTAATCAAAATGAAAACTGCTTCTTGTGTTATTTCATGTAATGAGAGCTCAAGAGTTGGGTTCAAAAGAAAGTCAAGAGATTCTGCCCCAAAGTGAATTAGCTGGCAGTTTTCCACATGTTCTAGAAAACAACAAATGAGAAAGACAACGAACACGGGGTCAATTTATTTAACTCAGTTTTATATTTAGCAAATAATCCGCCCCAAGATACAGCGATATTTTAAGTACATAAAGAGCTTGATTGATGTTGCCAGTCACTGATGGCCTTCTTTATCTTTATCTCTTCCTCTCGTCTGTCTCTATCACCGTCTTTCATTTCAGGCCTTGGAGCAGCATTGTAAAGTAGAAGGAGGCTACAGCGGCGTCAGAGACGTCTACGCTCCGACTCCAAACCACGATGATGTACAGCAGAGCTTCTACTTGGCTGAGACGCTCAAGTAAGACACACAAACCGAGCAGTTCTACACACACAGCCTTCACTTCTGTTCTCTTATGATTGTGTTGTCATTGCACTTTATGGAGGGACTGGGACCCTGCAGCCCCAAACTGACAAGAGATGTCAAGTCTCTCACACACAGACACGCACAAACACAAGTTGTCATTCATTCAGACTAAGCTCCAGAGAGAAGCTTGGGTTACAGGCAAGGTTACTTCGTACACACACTAACACACTGACTCCATATTGAGGATTTTTCTAGATGTACGGTATATTTCAGCTCAGAAATTAACTACTAATGCTGGATTCATAAAATATTAGGTTCAGAATTTGGACAAAGATAGAGGAGCATAATGTAAAATCATTTTTAACCTTCAGTATTACTTAGAATTTGCACATTTCTGCTTGTAGAAACTGCTTTTATTCATGTTTTTGGTATTTTGGGTCATTTTTGTGCCCTCATCAGATAGTACATAGTGGAAATCTGAGTGAAGCGGGGAAGTGAAAAGGCAGCAGAAGACGACTGCAGGCTGTTGTGAACGGTGCAGGTTTCAAAACACAGGCCTTGAGCGTACACACAGCGCGTTTGGGTGAAAAATACTGAATGTTAACAATACTGTTTTTGCTTACAATGTAAATGCCACGGGGTGGATACCACAGTCCTATTCTTCAACAGAATAGATCATAATAACAGGCTGGAGACTTTCTGCTTCTACGGCCTCACTGTTGAATCAGAATGTGTCTTTGAAGGCTTTTGTGCTATACTGATAGATTTTTGAGTAAGATCCATCAACGCTGAACGGGAATTCCCCCCCCCAGAGATGCAATAAGATTCATATTTCTTATATACAGACTCTGCTTGCGAACTTTTTAATGAATTTCCTTTCCTCGATTAAAAACGTGGGCCTACATAGATCTGAAATAGTGGAAATATAGTAGAGAAGACAGAAACTGTGAAAATCACCACATGTCCCAACACGCCACAGGCAGCTACTACTTCTCACTCCCTCTTAATAGGCCCTGATATTTTTACTGTCCTCGTGTGCGAGTCTGAGTTAGTATGTGTTAATGTGTGTGAGAGTGTGAGCGCGCAGCCACAAATGGCTTCTTAAATGTGTTGTCAGCCGCACAGTGAGACGTCTGCTGGCTAATAAGACTTTGTCTCTCCAACTGTGTCCAGGAAGACAGTCTGTTTACAGCATGAGGACAAGTCTCAACTACAGTTTAACCAGCGGGCAAGTGTGTGCTTGTGTCTTTGTGTTTTTTCTGTGGACAAAGGAGGAAATACTGGAAAAAAAAAACTTGCTTGATCATGTTGTTTTGCTGAATGTGGTCGGTATTTCTCACGTGTCAGCAGTGTTAGAGAGGTCAACCCAGGCACAGTGACAGCTGCACAACACTTTCATTTGTTCCTCAAGATTGTTTTTGTTAATTGCAGGTGCTGGCAAAGCGTTTGACTTATTTCAAAAGCTGCAATTTCTTTCTTTTTACTTTGGAAAATTTTATGTAATATCATTATGCACTGAGAGTAGAATTGAGTTTATTAAAATTGAAATTTGTCAGAGAGCAAAATTCAGCTTCTATCGCAGCCGAGTGATTGAACATGATCTAGTTTTTGTCTTCAGTGGACCATTCTGTTTTGATTTATGAATTTTCATTATTTTCAAGTTTGCTAAAGAACAGAAAAATGGAGAGGTTAAAATCAGCTATATAAGACCCAGCAACACAGACAGACAGAATACACTTAAGGCCACACAGGTCTGTATATTATATGAATGCTGTATTTTGGTACAGAGTACAGATGTGATGTTTGCTGTAGTACAGAGAATCAAACATGAGTGTTAAATTGTATTTGGAATGCATTTAATATTTCAAAATTAGATAATTGGGGAGAAAGAATCTGAAGAAGGTCTGCTTTTTAATTACTCTACTCTGAATTTTTAAAACTATTATTCCAATGTCAGGGCTATAAATCTTTTTTTATTCATTTGTGTTTATTTATTTCTTATCAATGGGCAGATTAACCTCTATCACAGTTTTCCAGGGGCCTGAGTAACATTTCAAATTATAATGCCTCGTTTTGTCTAACCACCAACCTTAAAACTCCAAGATATTAAATGTGTGATTGTAGAAGACACCAAATCCTCGAATTTAAACAGCAGCTTTTTTGTATTGTCTTTCTTGGAAAACTACAAGAAAACAGTTACTTGAAATTTAAATTTGCACAAAAGCTAATATCAAATACGTCTATTGAAGGACCAGTGTGTGTGCTGAGATTCTACTCCTTTGCACACTTGCACATAGATAGCTCAGCTGCATGTATAGTGGACGCATAGTTGTTTTAAATTGTGCTACTTTTTGTCCACTCGGAGGACACATTATCATATGTATCATAAGTGCAGTAGACTGGAGTATATGTAGTCTGCACATGCTCACTACTGCCCTCATTGGATAGTAGATGTACAGACACAAATGTTAACCCGGCACATGGAAGTTCGCATTCAGATCCACACAGACTTTTACAGACATAGATAGATAATTAAACTTACATCACTCAGACCGTAATGGCTCCCTGTTGACTTGTATAGCCTCATGGATGCACTGTACATGTTGCTGCATCACTACGCTTGTAATCAATGAAAGTAGCAGCACGAGCCATGACTGGAGAGGTCAACTGATATTGCACAAGCTCCGTGTAAAACTTGTTGTTCCACAGCGCTGTTCTGAATTCAGAAACGGAAGACACAACAATCCCAAGATGCAAGTTTACCATCTTGTTTTGCCTGAACCCTACGATGTACACACAGTGCAGGTGTAGTCAGTAAAACAGTTCCAAGACAATATCAGTGCATTTACAGTGTTACACTGTAGATAGTTTCAGTCCATTGAATGGATTAGAATCCCTTGTGGATGCGCACGTGTGCAGCTGCAAACACCATGCATGCATATAACCCAATTATAATACATGCAAGCCAATCAGTGTCTATGTATTCTGTGCATACACACTACTGCTCTTACAGCACAGTGAACATGGACTGTCAGACACAGACCTTGGAATGCTGACGGACTCTCACAGACTTCAACAGACAATGAAAATTTAAGTCACTTGGACCCTAGCCCTGCACATTCGCAGATGTGGAAAGTATAACACTGACTGTAGTGGCGTTTATGAGAGAGGTTTCAGACTGCAGCTAAAACCCTCATCCCTCCCTTTCAAAGTGTGTAGGAGAACCTAGATTAACCATCAGTTCAGCATCCAAAAGTGAAAGGCCCTCCTCTGTGCCACAGTAGAGACATGGTGATACAGCATCCCTCTGTGGACATGAAGGACTTATTCAAAGCAAGTGAAAACACAATGATTCATAGTTCCAGGTTACAGTTTTATCTACATAGCACCAATTCACTGCATCCTCTAAGTCATCTCTTGGCACTTCACACAGTGACTTGCAGACCACGCAATACTAAATCATAGACAGAAACCCATTAATGAGCTTTGAGCAAGCACCTAGTGACAAATGAAAACATAATTATGAAAACTATATTCAATTAATAGGGCTTCCTAAATCCTGCACACCGGTTTAGCTCGATCATCAGTGGAGCTCACTGATGACCGGTGCTGCTGGATGAATTTGTGATGAAAGAGCAAACCCTCTTTGTTGCTCTTTTTCCTGAGTTTCTTCCAAATTTATGGTCCTCTCTGTTTCCTTTGCCTCCATCTAAATTATATTTGCCACTCCTGCATCCTCCCTCTCCCTCCCCTTGCTCTCGTCCTCCTCTCCTCTTCGGCTTCTTATCATTTTCCCCCCACAGCAGACAGCTGTTGACAGGAAGTCAAGGTTAGCTTAACAGAGCCTGAATGGGGGCGAGGTGCCATCCAATCCAGCTTTTTTATAGGCTGTAAATTTTAACAAGCGTCACCTCTACTCCTGATTACAACACACACACACACAAACTCACAACAGCACACATACACGCTCACTCAGAGTGAGATGTTTGGATTCCTTTGGCAGAACAATTTCTAGAGAAATATTTCAACATTAAAGTGATCTTTTCTTTCCTCTGTTGACCATCAAAAAGTCCCAACATGAAAGCGAGATATGGATATTTTTGTAGACAGAAAATTTAATCTTTCCAGGGAATGTGACACTAAAAGAGGACAATGAAAATGTCTCATTAGCATCCTCTCACATTAAAGGCCCCCCATAGACGAGGGGGAAGAAAAATAACTGACCACCAGTGTGGATACGAACAATAATTACCTCATCAGTCAAGCTGCATCATATCCAAGATTTCAGAAGTGGACCTCAGAGAGAGAAAATATCAATCCCATTTAGCAGCAAACCCATAAGTCTAATCCTCCTAATGTTACTGGGGGTCCTGGCATCACGCAGAGCCACTTCCAGTATTCATCTTCCCACTGCTGCCAAGGACACGGCCATACTTCACACCGCTGTCTGCCTTCAATCACTCGCTGCTTTCTAGCTGTTTGCTGGCAGGCAGAGAAGGACGGGGACTTATTGTGGAGGTTGAAGGCTACCTGGACAACCTCTGCTGAATCATTAGTTTTACTCAGCTGACACATTGTTTTTAGCCTGTCTCCTTCTTTCTCCCTTCAGCACTTCTTTTTTTACCCTTAAAAAACAAATCCTTATAGAAAGCATTTAGTTTTTATTTATTGATTTCTCTTTTTCTTACTCTTCGTGATGCACTCTGATTCCACTGGACCAGCAACTGTCCTAAAACTCTTTATTTGCTTACGTTTGTACCGCTCCTCTGATGGATAATGCTATTTTAGGGCTATTTCATCAGATCTGACAGCACTGGACCGCAAAATTTCATCACTTCAAGTTTCATAAACTGGTGTGAGCCCAAGCCTCCCCCACCCTCCGCTCTCAGTTCCACATCTGTCTCATCACTTTTTTGGCACGACCACCAATAAATATTGCAAAAGCTGAACACAACTGGAAATAAACAAGACATGTTCATGACGAAATGAGGCATGAATTCAAAACATTGGATTTCCCCCACCCGAGATTCAACTGGAGACACTCGCTGCTTGAAAACAGATAATCATATGGAACGTACTGCAGATTTACAATTGTGACTTTATTTTTGATGATTTATAGCAAAATTCAGCTGCGGTTTGACAACAGACCTTAATCCAAAGTCCACTTGAAAGCTTTCCACGGAGCTTTCAAACACATCTGTGGTTGATGTTGAAATCTTAAGATTTTTGTTGAGCAATAAGACTGTGGGCATCTCCAAGCACATCTGTTAGTTTTCCTCATATAGGTGTGGCACTGTTACATGGAGGTAGGATGGACCAAGTGGAAAAATACGCGAGTGGGTGTGGTGATAACAAATAAATGCACCATAACTCATACATCTCTGAATGAATCATGATGATAACGACTCAACAAGCACACTTCTCCGAGAGACAATACTGGAAAATGTGTTCACACTGGTCAGTCACAACATTACAACTTTGGTTGTGTAGCTCCTCCTAGTGCTGCCCAACCAGCTCTGAATTGTCACACCTTGGATACAGAACCTCTGGAGGTGTCCTGTGGTGGAATTGGGACATTGGCAGTAAATCATTCAGGTCCTGTGGGTTCCAGAGTGGAGCCTCAGTGTTTCCGGTGCATCTCTCAAATGCTCAGTCAGATTGTTATCTGGAGACATGGAGGCCTGGTTAATGCCCTGGGCTCTTTGTTGTGTTCCTTGAGTAGTTGTTACAGTATGTCAGTAGATGCAGACCAACATGTTGTTGTGTTGGTATGTTTAAGAGCCAAAACCAATTTTGATGTCAAAATAATGAATAACACAAATGGTAACCCACAACGTTATTGAAATGCTTTGTTAATTTATCTTTTATATATGTTTAATTTAAAGAGAATCTTTAAACACGGGGCTGCAACGGTTAGCACCGTTGTCTCACAGTTAGAAGATCCCCAGTTCACATCCCAGTTAGGACACTCTGGATCTTTATGTGTGGAGTTTGCATGTTCTCCCCGTGCAGCGTGGGTTCTCTCCAGGTTCTCCAGCTTCCTCCTACACAGTTCAAAAACATGTTGAGGTTAACTGGTGATTCTAAATTGTCCGTAGGTGTGAATGTGAGTGTGCTTGGTTGTCTGTCTCTAAGTGTAGCCCTGTGATAGACTGGTGACCTGTCCCCACGACCCTAGTGAGCATTAAGTGGTGTATAGATAATGGATGGATCTTTAAACATTTATCCTCATGCCTGCATTCTTAAAGAAAAAGGTCAGATTGTATTAAGGTCTATAAGAAACTTCGCCTACATCTCACTTGATTTGTTACTTCAGTAAACATTTTTCTAAAGAGTTTATGATGTCAATCACTAGTTTTGAGATTTTCTGAATACAGCACAAAGCTTATTTTGTAAACTAAGCTTCCATGTAGAATAAAGCAGACTATAAAACAGGGGTATTTTTTTTAAGGTGGGGCTACGTTGTGATTGACAGGCTGCTACTACGTGTGAGTAGTCTCCTCTGGTTTCCCAGTCAGATGAACTGCCTGCTTGTTAATCAGGTTTGAAAGACCAACATGATGAAGGCCAATTGCCAAACTCAAGGTTTCAAAACAGCAATCCACAAATCAGTGGATGACATCACAATCCACGTCCATCTTTTATATACAGCCTATGTGTGTTACCATGTCAAAGTAACGTATAATGAATCCAGCAAATGTCAGGAACCAAAGTTTCCCTGACTTTATACTGTGACAAGACAATCAATGATCTACATTTAACCTGTCAGTGATTTTAATCTTGTGGCTGACCAGTGGAGATTCTCTTTGCAGATTTGGGTAATCTGGAGAGAAATTAAGATTGTGGTTATTTACATGTTTGTGTGTGTACAGGTCTTGGAAGTACAAGTGCAAATGTTCTTAAAGTTGTACAAGCAAGTATGAGCAAGTTTAACAGGGAAGATAAAAAATAAAATAAAATTCTGAAGTGTAAAATATAAGTGAGCTTTCAGTACCTCTGTACCGCTTTGCTTTACCGTATTAGCTACTATTAGCATAACAAACCTGAGGCCATGAAGTTGTTCATTTTGACATTTTTACCAGACTTCTACTGGGAGCTTCTGATGTATCAAAATAACTTTTTCTGTGGGATACTGTGTGTGTTAAAGCGTTTCCTTGTTTGTGTCCTCCAGGTATCTCTACCTGCTGTTCTCTGACGACGACCACCTACCGTTCGAACACTGGGTCTTCAACACCGAGGCTCACCCTCTGCCGGTCATTAGGAAGGATAAAACAGACAGACCCAACGACGTGGAGTAGTGGACCTTCCTGCGCTGACAACCACAAACAAGTGCGAGAACCTCTGATCCTGTATATCTGAGCCTCCAGTTGTCTGCCTGAAACTGTTTAGCCACTGGGAGCCTCCAGTGGTTACAGATGCCTCTTGATCGGATTTCACTTTAGATTTTGGATGGGATCAAAACAGCATCCAAGTGTATTGGAGCTGAGTTCTCGCTGTAGATTCCAGTTTGATTCTTTTTGCTTTTGATTTTTAGCTCTGGTTGATTCCAGATGCTGACCTGACACAACACATTCACTGCTGGATAACGTGATAGCTCATCAAAGTGTAATAAATCCTCCCTCCACATGAGTTTAAATCCATAATGTGGTTAATTCTAAGATGATGCAGTGATAATCACACTGGTTTTTCGTGTTCTTGCATTATAACAGTTGTATTTCTGAAGATATCATTTCATCAAAGTGCAGTTTATTTCACTGGTAAGCTTCGTTTCTTGTTTCTGCTCATTCAGAGGGACAATCTGAGCTATCACATGATTCATCAGTGGTTTTGTTGTTAGTAGCTACAGCTCCGTCTGTACTTTTGAGGAGACCTGACAAACATAAAGCAGCCGTCTCCCTGATTTGGATATCATGGACCCCAGTGTTTGGGCACCGAACCCAGAAAGACCTCCGTCTCTCGACTGAGGATCACAAGGCTGACTTAATGAGCTCAGAGACGCTCAGTTCACTTCACATGCGTCGTCTTTTCCTTCTGCTGTACCGCTTCAACATCTGAAAAGGAACCGGTTGTCTTGCACCAACGCTGGTGCCACCACCACTCGATTTCAAAGAGACGCTGGGAGTTCGCTTTTCTAAAAAAAAAAAAAACGTGGTTGTCGCTGTAGGAGTAAAGTAAAGACGCAGCACAACCCGAGCCTCTTTTATAAACCCACAGAACTTTAGACCTCTGCTCCCCCTCATTTTACCTGAACACCTGACTGCTCCTTGTTTCCTTCCTCTGAGTTCGGTGTGACACGTCGACCAGCCACACCAGCTCTCTACCTGCCAGTAACTTCACTTTTCCCCCATGACGTTTACACAAAGCTATCCTCCTGCTTCTGCTTCTGCTTTATCTGTATCTGTCACCTGCTTTTGGATTTATTGGGATTTATTTCTCACATTTGCACCAAGGTTCGACCAGCACAGGCATTTTAAAGCTGATGTCTTTTCTTTTTTTTTTTAACGGGCAGCAAACATTTGTGCTCATTTTCCAAATTCTCATCTGTCTTTTTTTTATAGTCTTTCTCCATTTCCCTCACAGAAATTACACATTTTGCACTCACTGGGACTCACTGATCATGATTAGGGACTTTTGAAAGAAAACTAGAGAATGGACCAAAAAGGCAAAAAATGTAAATTTTACCTCACTTTGGAGGAGCTCTCGAACATATTCTCGTATTGGGCTGTAGCACTGTGTCAGTGATTATTCCTGAGGTGTGCCCAGCATGGTGGGCAGACTGAGCACTGGATATCGAGAGAGTTCAGAACATCCTCCTGGGTAATGATGAATCAAAAAGGTGTGAATGATGGAGAATCTCCTCAGACAGCCTCTCCTCATAACACATAGTTCTTGCAGTGGGAACAGTCCAGATTTTGGGCTGCAGTGGATTTGGGTGGAAAGCATGAATTGGCCTTCCGTCAGCAGATGTTTGCTCAGCTGAAATAAAGCATGGGGATGTGTTGGACTGTGAAATGTCCTGTAATTGTAACCTCTGGAAAGAGCTAGTTAGTGGACCTTGAATAATATTTTTTAAATGATTACATTTTTGGCAAACTATTCCACAAGTCAAGGAGAAACTTTTACATTTAAAAGTTTTCCTTGTTCCCTTCTTTTGTAGTCTGAAAAAGCAATTGTTTGTATAAAAACTGAACTTTAAGACCATCAGACACTGAAAGTTTCCACTAAAGTGCTCACTGGCTAATCAAATTCATCAGCAGGCCCATGTATTGGTCGAACCCTCTTTTTCTCTGTAGTATTGCTTCTTCCTCTTTCCGTCCTCGTAGTCCAGCGTAGAGCAGGCTGTAGATCTTCTCTCCTCTATGAGGAGATGCGGACACTCGACTTTGCTATAATACGTCACCTTCACACACAGAAGAAGCCATACTGATGCTACACAGCTTTACCATTCTGTCATTGAGTTTTGTTCTTTTCATCCTCCATACACACACACACACACACACACACACACACACTCGAGGCTGTGTGACTGTGTTGCTGCTTTTGTTGCCGTTCCGCAATTCCAAGTCGCGTTCACTCGGTTATTTAGTTGAATTTCACGGTAAAGGTTCCTCCTGATGCCACACAGAACCGTAGCCACATTTAATCCAGTTTAGTCTTCGATCTAGTGCCTTCACTGTTGAGAAGGAGGAGGGAGAAGCAGCTCCCGCAAACACAAAAGAGTTTTTAAAATAGTATTGCAGCTTTAAGTAAGTTCCCCTGATGAGGATTATACCAAAACGAGACATGGATTAAAGGATAATTCTACTTTTTAATTTGATATTCAGAGTAACTTTGGTGTGAAGATAGCTCAAGAGTTGGTGGAAACTTTTTGGCTTCGTTGCGATCTGTGGGAGATTAGACCACCAAAAGTCCATGACAGGAGGTCAATATTGAAATAATATATGCTTATACTATTCTTTCTCCTGAGTCCATCATCTGTGGAAACAACAGCTTTCTAAAGATCAGTCTCCTGTTGTTTCCTTGACTACACTGACACCTAGTGGTGAGATATTCCTATTGCAGTCTGCATGAGACCTGGGCTAAATGACTGCTGTCTGAAAAGGCAAAAACATTATGAAATAGTCACTTAAATACATAAATAATTAGGTTTTGGTAAGAAAAAAGTGTTTGGGGGACAATTAGTATATATTTATATTGTATATTAGTCTTTGTCACTCATGTTTTCGGATGTTTTTGTCAAAGTTTTCAGTAATTACAAGACGGTGATATTCTGAGCTCTAAAAACAAAGAGAAATCCTATAACTGAAGAGTAAAAACTGATGCTTTCTTGTTTTGCCAGGTATTCACCACTTTGAGATGGCAGATGGGGAGTCATTAGAGATTCCAGTCAACAACAGCATCACTGTTTGAAGTAGTTTCAATTTATTTACTTCAGAACCAGTGGCTGAACTGAGCGACAGTTTCAACAACTCGTGTTTTTCGCTCAGCAGGCTAAAACACACTTAGCCCAGGTATCTCAAAACAGAACAATAAATCTGAATGAAACATCATTTTCTGGCAAGATGCTGTTTTTCCCCATGTTTTAGGATCGATGCTTTTACTGACTCCCACCCTGCTTAACTGAAAGGACCAACAGATTTTCATCAGATTTTTATGTTCCCACACATTCAGTAGTTTGCTGCTACAGAAAGATGCTAAGAAATTATAGTTTACAATCACAAGATGATTCCTTTGCAAAAAAAAAAAAAAAAAAAATAGAGCTTTGAAAAGAGGACAGAAATAGTTCTTTGTTCCAGTGGTTGTGCTGCAAATAGTATTTTTAGAACCAACTCAGTCCCACATCTAACTGACCACTGCTAAATTCCCAGATTTTATTTACTGTTTTCGAAACCAAATATAACGAGTCCTCCCCATGTTTCTACCAACACTGACATATCATTCAGCAGGACTTCCTGTTCAAACTGAATATAGTGTTGATTTTCTGAGCTGTGACAAATCCTTCCACGTTCTTTATATCACTGTACAGACGACAGTGTCTACGTGTTGAATCTGTTTCGTTTAGTTAGAGTGGCATTTATTATCCATGTGATGATGTATTGTAATGGTTGATTTTGCTGATTGTGTTAATTTATTCCGTAGTAGTGAACCTAGGACTTAGAGGTGTTGGGAGTCGACCCCGAGGTGGAGCTGCAGAGGAGAAAGGCTGGAGCCTGAACAGAAACTGCAGGTTTATCTGCCTGAAAACACAGCGCAGGTCCTGGTTGTTTACAGGTCCTGTGTCTGTAGATTTAAGGTGGTCTTACAGCAGTAGTACGAAGACATATAGATATATATATATATAAATGCTGTATGTGGTACCTTTACATTGGTATTATTAGCAGAAGACGTGTCAGAAAGAGGGCAAAGAAACCACCAGGGAGTCAATCAAACAACCTTATAGGGAGGATAGGAACTGTATGAATGTACCATCCAATGTGAAGTGAAGAATATTTTATATGCATTTTTTGTCTTTGTTTGTTCACTTCAGTGTGCTTTTGTTTTGTTTTTTTGTTTTTTTGGTTTGATTTTTTATCTTCGGAAAGCACAAAAAGTTGAAGCCATGTGTGCAGGCAGAGAGAGTGTAGCAGAGACGGAGAGCCGAAGCCTCTGGAGGCTGAAAGACGCAGCGACAGCGGCCGGTAATGTAGGAAATGATCCAAATCTGCCACATGAGGTGTGTCAGTACGTCGGGGATACACTTTATAGTTTCTTTGCTGGGTTTTCTTTTTTTTTCTGAGGATGTGACACACAAACTTTTTTTTTTTTTTTTTTTCTGAGGATGTGACACACAAACACGGACATGTGGGAATATTTTACAGGATAAAGTGTTCATCTTTCACATCTGATTTGTTCATCGGTGGTGGGAGCTGATAGCTGAAGATTTACAGTATGTACACATGTGGTGAGTTGTTTAAACATTCAGTAGCTCAGTTTGACTGTTGGGAATTAAAAGTACAGATAACAAGAGCTGTATTTTGACAAATTGCAGCGTGACTTGTCCAAAACGTCGTTCTGACCGGTTGAAACTGCTGATCAGAACGATGCAGAACCAGAGATTTGTTTGGTGGAAATTTACATGGCGCTCAAACAGCTTGTGCCGAAGTATGTGTGAAAAGCAGGTCACCTCCACCTCCATTTAAACCAAACTACAGAAATCTAAAATGTCATTTGACTTCAACAAAATTCTAATTCAAGATATCTGTAATTATATTTTGACTGGGGACAATTTCAGCTTGACAAATCACCATTCTGACCAGTTCAAATTCAATTTAAGATATCTGAAAAGGAAGCTGTAGATATCTGAAATTAGAATTACAACAAGTCGTAGTTTACCAGCAGAAATCTGCAACTGAATTATAGATTTCTGCAAAAAAGAGAAACAAACAAATGGTGAAAGTGACGTCATTTGCGCTGGAGGAATGACTCTGTGGATATCTGAACTGTTCTTTTTAACTGGACAGAATTAAACGACTGATATGTGCAACACAAATGCTATTAAATGTTCAGCAGCTCGCCACATACGTAGTGTTTCTGACGGTTTGTGATCACAGCAGCATAACTCTGCTTCACCTATGATCTGATATGTTCATGGCTCTTCTTTTGATGAAAATGTAGAAATCATTTCACCGCATTAGGCCAGAGAAAGTTTGTAATGAAGGAAAGTGTGATTTTTTTATTTTTTTTTTAGATTGTCTAACACAGTGGTTTATTGCAGCAGAGTGTTGGTGTTATTTTGCTGCATCATTGGGTTTAACCAGGTACATTTAAAAAAGATCATGTTGGTAAATGTTAAGATGCAGACTGCGGGGTGTTTGTTTTTTTTTGTTGTTGTTGTTTGAGGTAATCAGTGGTATAAATAGGATCATTAGATAAGTTTACATAGAACGCCTTCGTCTCTGCACACTGTCGGGTTTTTTTTTGGATTTGATCAATGAATTGTTTCATGCAGTCCACATTTCTCATTTGGTCCCCAAAAAGATTCAGTTTGCAGTCATCTAAAAAAGAAAAAAAATATGCACTCAAGTTGGAGAAGTTGCAAGGAGACAACGATTGGAATAATTATTTAAGTAGTAACAGCTGATCAATCTTGTCGATTGATTCCTACATGAGTTGTTTGACCTTCTCATGACCAGCTGTAGAGACACACATACCTTCATTTGAATCAGTTGAAGTATCAACTGAAACAGTGTGTCTGAAAACTCCATGCAGAACTCCATTTAAAAAAACATCTATTTTATGCTACATTGTAGCGTGACGGTACTGATGGGGCCTAGATTTAAATTAAGTCATTTATTCGTTCTGATGATTTTTGACCAGTTAGAGATTGAAACGTTGTAGTAATGTGGGGGTTGTGTTTTTATCTGCAGTAAATGTGATGGTATGAGTAAGGAGTAATTATTGGAAAAATAGTTAATGGACATTTGAATGCTAAGATTTGTTAGTGCAATCTTCAGTCTAAATTAGATTTTTAGTGCATTTTGAGCATTATAAATATGTTAAGATAACTGTGTGCAGACATATTATGGAAGCTTAGATTCTTAGAAACATCAGTCAGGTGATTCAGACTTAAAGGGCTGATCCACTGCATTTTCTCAAGGAGGGAGTCAGATTTTATACGCCCTACATTTGACTAGATTTCTCTCTGTAGGTGCCCTCCTCGATTTTAGAAATGTACGGCTTTGTTTCTCTCATGTGTCACTGATCTGGTCATTTCACTACCTGAACAGGGAGGGATTTCGAATGTCTTTGGTTGTGCATGTGAGCCGGTAAGTCTGCTTTATCTTCACATCGTGTGACATCAGGTTCAGTCTCATATGCAGACTTTATTTTGTTTTCTGTTGTTTTTCATGAAAAGGTTAAATTGTCTTTGGTGATTTTCTGAATATTGTGTTGCGTTCCAATGCCTTTCTATTAGTGAATATTAAAGGAGAATGCCGCCCATTTCAGGAATTCAAAGTGAAGTTGGTCCTTGTGAAAATGCACCACGTCTCCAGACAGAAACTTTGTCGTATATCACACTGACACCATATGTTTTCCTCCTCCAGTGGTAAAGACCACTAAATATTCCTGACCTGTTGTGGGACTCAAATGTTCTGAATTCCTTAAATGGCTGCCATTCTCCTTTAAAAGGGTTTAAATGTGTGAAACCAACCTCAGAAATGTATCTGTACAAAATATTGCTGATAATCATTCCATTGCACATAGTTTACTTTGCATTTATATGCAATATTTTTAATTTTGTGGGGAAATTTGTTTTATTGTGTTAATATTATTATTGAAAAAAATGTAAATATTCCATTCCGGCAAATGAGCCGTTCTACATTTATATAAAAATCTTCTGAGCTTATGGATTAAAATGATATTAATGAGCAGCAGACTTTTTAATAAACTATATTTGTTACACTTCTATTGTGAATAAAAAATCTTTTATTAAGTGGTGTTTTTGGATTGGTGTTGTGTTTTCAACCAGCAGAGCCTTATTTACCAACCGTAGTTATTAAGGTGTTTGATAATAAGCACGCTGATTAGACTTTACATTGATTTTAAAAATTATAATGTAATTACATGTAACAACCTCAACTTGACATTAAGCATTTTCAAAATAAGAGCACAGCATTAATGTATTTTCTGACAAGCTTGTTTCCTTCATTAGCCACAACCCAAAAGTTAGTTGATGCTGAGGTCCATTTACGTCGGAGACCAGAGCTGAGTGTGATGCCACACCTGAGCTGACCGCGATCCAGTACAAGTCGGAACATGACGACGCACACCTCCAGGAAAGCCTTCGTTATAGGTTAGTCATTATTAGAAGTATCTCTGGATAATATCACATTGCACTGTATTTCAAAACCACAGACTGTATATAGAAGATGGACATCGCTTCCAGGTCTGAGAAGTGAAGCTAATGTAGAATGGCTTAAAGCTGTATTCTTTCTAACAGCCAGCAGGGGGCGACTCCTCTGGTTGCATGAAGAAGACAGATTGTATAGAAGTCTATGAGGAAATGAACCTGCTTCTCATCTGATCTGTTACCTCAGTAAACATTTTCCTGATGAGTTTTTATGGACTCACTCATTAGTTTCAAGTCTACTTCAGTACAACATGGTTTTCAGTTGGTAAATTATGGTCCCATTTAAAGTCAAATAGATAATAAAGCAGGGTATGTGTTAGGGTGGGGTTACCTTGTGATTGATAGGCTGCTACTGTGTCACCATGGGCAACATGTTCTCAGGTCTCAGTCAGATTCACCCCTCATTCAGTACATCTTTTTCTAAACTTCAGACTTCATAATCAGCACCACTCCCAACACAATCACTCACATAATGACAGGGAGCCAACTGTCATGTGCAATAAACCCAAGTGCAATTAATTCATGCAAATATTCTTAATTTTATGTTCTTACTATCCTTTTGTTCTTCTGTTGTCCTCATTTATATTCTGTATATAGTGTATATAGCTTCCCTCTTTAATTTATAGTTGTGTTTTCTTGCTTTCCTTACTGTCACTTTGCTGCTGTGATGTTGCAGATTTCCCTTTGTAGGACTAATAAAGGATATTCTATTCTAATATATTCTAAACAGCCATATAACAAGAGCTAAATTCCAAACTCAAGGCTTTAAATCAGCAGTCCACAAACCAAGCGGTGATGTCATGGTCACTACGTCAGTCTCACATATACTGTGTTTGGATGTGACTCAGGCAAAATTCATGT